CTATGCAAGGTACTAGGAGAAAAAAATAATCACCACCGCACCCAACTGTGAATCCTGTGAACTACAATAACAACTGGCCTGGCAAGATAGAATCACCGGCGCAATAGTGACACAAGAATCATGGGAGTAACCAACCACTCTTTAATTGGATTTGAGGTCCACTTTCTAGGATAGATATGATCAAAATACGTTCATTGCATGAGATTCTCAAAGAATCATTAAATTTTTTTTTTAAAGAAAGAAAGACTGGAGAGATGGCTCAGTGGTTAAGAATACTGACTGTACTTGCAGAAGACCTAGGTTTGTATCCCAGTACCCACATGGCAGCTAACAACTGTCCGTAACTCGAGTTCCAAAGGATCTGACAGCCTCTTCTGTCCTCTGCGGACATGACATGGGTGCACTTACCTACATGCAGGCAAAACACATAAAATAAAAATAAATTAAAAAAATTTTTAAAAAAATATTTTTAAGTGTACCACATGCATGTAATCCCAACAGAGGCCAGAAGAGGGCATCACATCCACTGGAACTGGAGTTTTAATGGGTGGTTGTTAGCTACCATGTGGGTGCTGGGAACCAAACCCAGGTCTTCTGCAAGAGTAGCCAGTGCTCTTAACCACTGAGCCACTTCTCCAGCCCTTGTTTTTCATTATTGATCATATAAAGTTACTAACAAAAACTGGAAAGCTTTTGATAGTGACCAGCTGTGTCCTTTCCTCTTTCAGCGCTGGGAGTTCAAGCACCCACAGCCTTTCCTCCGCACACGTGAGTTCCTCTGGCAGGAAGGACACAGTGCCTTTGCTACCTTTGAGGAGGCAGCTGAAGAGGTGTGGAGGAAGTTGTGTTGCATGTTGTTTATGTCTTGTGTCTTTGTTCAGGCTCTGCTTTTTTACTTTGTTTAAAAACAAAATTAATTCAAATGTACGTAGATTTGAGAATTATAAATGAAATGTATTGTTTTAAATTTTCATTTGGAAATTTTGGGTTTTAATTTTTAGAAATTTATAGTCACATGATTGAAGTTGTTTTCCAGTGAGTTTTGCTGATTGCTGTTACCGCTCAAGCATTTTCTCCTATATTCCACATTTATATCCATCTGAGAATGTCATTTGCCCTCACTGCTTTTTTTTGTCAGACATCTTCTTAAACTTCACACTGTCTCCTTTAACAAGTGCTTTTTCCAAAGCAGTTTTAGACAGTGTAGATTCACAGATCTGTAGTGGGTAAATGTATCCTTAATTGTTGACAGGTGTTGCAGATCCTTGAACTCTATGCTCAAGTGTATGAAGAGCTCTTGGCAATCCCTGTTGTGAAGGGAAGAAAGACAGAGAAGGAGAAGTTTGCAGGAGGAGACTACACGACCACAATAGAAGCCTTCATCTCTGCTAGTGGGCGGGCCATCCAGGTCAGAGAGCTGCTCCTTCACAGGCGAACACGCACAGTCTGTGGCCGGCCCAGCAGTTTCCTCTGTCATCAGAGAAGTAGATGCTTATTAAAAATGTTAGGACAGATATTATAGAAAACAGTATTGAGGTTCTCAAGAAAATTAAAAACAGAACTATCACCTGATCCACTACTGCCACTCCTCGATGTGAATCCAGTTGAAATGTAGTTTGAGGAGACATCCTCATCTCTGTTCAGCACAGCAGTATAACCAAGAAATGGAGAGAGCGTGTGTCCATCATTTGGAATATAAAATACACATATGTACCATGGAATATTAGCCCTAAAAGAGAATGAATTCCTGTCCTTTGTAGTAGCATAGATGGAACTGGAGAAGATTATGTGTGAAGTAAGTCAGGCACAGAAAGACAGGTAGCACATACATGTATGATCTCATACATATGTTAACTCCCAATGGAAGTTGAGGATAGATAGTGGTTACTGGAGCCCGAGGGGAATAGAAGTTGATCAGTGGGCACTAGATTCTGGTTACATAGGAACACAGAGTTACACTGTGGCTAGCCATGGTAGCACATGCCTATAGTCACAATACTCTAAAGGTAGAGGCAAGAGAATCTTGAGTTCAAGGCTAGCCTGACCTGTATAATAAGACACTATCTCAAAACAACAACAAAAACTGTAATAGCAGGGTAACTATTGATAATAATGATAATGTAGTCTACATTTCAAAAAGCTGAAAGAAAGGATCTTGAAAATTTTACCACTAGGAAATGGTGAGTTCTTCGGGCTGGAGAGATGGCTCAGCAGTTAAGAACACTGGTGGTTCTTGCAGAAGACCCGGGTTCGAATTGCAGCACCCACATAGTACCTAACAACTGTCCTAACTCCAGTTCCAGGGGATCCAACAGCCTCTTCTGTCCTCACACAGGCAATATACGCATACGCATAAAATAAAAATAATAATAAAAAAAGAAATGATGAGTTCTTGAGATAAATTTAACCTGATTTAAACATCACAAAACACCTTCCTGTTACCTTATTAATAGTTGATTTTGAGATGAATAAAAAAGTCCCTGGGGTACAACTTGCATGAAGCCCTAGTTTGAGCTCCAGCACTGTATAAACTGAGTTGGGATGGTGCACCCCTGGAGGTAGAGGCAGGAGTATCATATGCTCAAGGTCATTCTCAGCTACATAGTGAGTTCTACACCTACCTGGGCTACAACGAGACCCTGCTTCAAAAGACGGGAGAAGCGGGGGGAGAGAGATAGAGGAGAACTGAGCTTTCTGGGTCATAGCAGCACAGCTGTCCTGTTGTGCATCTCCAGCATCAGTGAAGTCAGGATTTGGTGCTAATTACCAAACATGGGCCCTTTGTAAAGCCTTGTGTACAAAGTCATTCCTATTGAACAGGACTGCTCAGAGCAAAACATTTGTACAGTTTTTTTTCCTTTTTAACCAATCCTGGTCTGGTCATGTTTTGAAACCTTACTGTCAAAAAGGGACATAAACAGTATATGTAGTGGTACTCTAAAGAATATGATCTTGTAATTATTTTCAAAGGCATAGTAGGTTATTAATATTAAAGCTTATATTTCTATCCTTATTTAAGGGAGCGACATCACATCATTTAGGCCAGAATTTTTCCAAAATGTGTGAAATAATATTTGAAGATCCAAAGACACCAGGAGAGAAACAGTTTGCATACCAATGTTCCTGGGGCCTGACAACTCGAACTATAGGTGTTATGATCATGGTTCATGGAGATAACATGGGCTTAGTGTTACCACCCCGTGTAGCCTGCGTTCAGGTAAGAAGATATTTCTGCTTATTTTTTCTTTCCTCAAGGTACAGATACGTGTTTACAAAGGAAATTTAAAAGGGTCGAATTCTCTGATACTAGAAACAACATAGAATATGGCCTAGACTTCTTTTAATATTAATTGTGGAACTGTAGATATTTGCATTTTTATTGTTTCTAGAATTTTTAAGGTTACTTGGTGTAAAAATTTTTAGAAATCAACTTTTTGAAATGATGTAGAATTGGTTAAATAAAATATAGGTCAAATGCATTCAGTGTGTGTGTTCTATAACATATTACGTGTTATGTATAGATTACAAACCACACAGGTTGATTTGTGGTAAGATTTGATTATTAGAAAACAGACTGAGGATTGTGTTAGCGGTAAACTTATGCTGGAGTCTTGGGGAAGAAGTGTCTGAACTGGGGACACGCTCTCTTGTCATCGAAGCCAAGAGACCTGAGGCTGGAGAGTTGGCTCAGAGCACATACTGCTGTTGGAGAGAACCCAAATTCGGTTCCCAGCACCCGTGCAACTGCCTGTAATTCCAGCTCCAGAGACATTCGATGCCTCTGCTGGCACCATCATCATCATCACAACCCCCCACCCTACCCCGCCCCCACTGCCAAGCACATGAAACAAGTCTTATGCCAGGGTTGGTGGTATATGCCTTTAGTCCCAGCACTGAGAAGGCAAATGCCAGCCTGGTCTACATATCAAGTTCCAGGCCAGCCAGAGCTTCATGGTGAGACCCAAGAGGAGAAAGACAAGCTGCAGGGCCATGTGGACTTGCCCCTTGTTTGCCTTCGTGCAGGTCTGCCGGAAGTAGCAACAAGAAGAAATACCTAAAGTCTTTGGTTAGTTCTGCCAAGAAATAATTGGAGAGGTAGAAAACCATGTCTTCAAAGGAAAATCAGAGTTTGGAGATGTAGCAAAAAGTAACAGAGATAAAGAGTATGTTCTCCCAAAGGTGATAAGAAGGAAAGCAAAAAGACTTCAGTGCTCCTCAGATGCCACCATCTGGCATCTTCCTGTTTGAATATCTGCCCAAAGATCAAAACACCCAGGCCTGTCCACTGGGGGACTGCAGAAACCCTGGGGAGGGAGGTGTGATCTGATTCATTCCAAAAAGTGAGCATACGAACAAAAGGCAGCCAGACCAAAGGAGGAGGACTCAGAAGACTGCTGCACGCGGCCAGGGCCAAAAGTCTAGCAGGAAAGAAGGGCCCTGGCAGGCCACCTGGTTCAGAGAAGAGCAGACCAGAAGGAGAGGAAGATGAAGAAGAAGATGGAAGTGGAGAGTAAAATGTCCTTTACCATGAGCTCAGGCAGTTGTTTTGTTCAGATGTGAATTCAAATGTAGCTCAACATTTGCCTCAGTATGAAAACTACAGATTTTTGTGTATCTGATGAAATTTTTTTTGAGGGGGGCAGGGGGGTCTTTTTGAGACATGGTCTCCCTCTAGCCCCAGCTGGCCTGGAGCTCACTATGGAGACCAGGCTGGCCTTGAACTACCGAGATCCACCAGCCTCTGCCTCCCAAGGGCTGGGACTAAAGGCGTGCGCTACCACACCTGGCTTGATGAAATTCTTTATAGAGAAAATGCTTTTTAAAAGATGCAAGGGACTGGTGGGATGGTTCAGGGGTTAAGGACTCTGGCTGTTCTTGCAGAGGACCCAGGTTTTGTCCTCAGCACCGCATGGTAGCTAACAATCATCAGTAACTCCAATTCCAAGGGAACTCATCATCTGGACTCCACAGGCACTACATACATGTGGCACACTTGGATACATGTAGACAAAGCACTCATACACATAGAAATAATAAATAAAATACTTTTTAAAAATATGTGTACGAGTGTGTTGTGCGTATGTGAGTGCACCCATGTCATGCAATGCTGCGGAGGTCAGAAGAGGGCTTCGGATTTCCCTGAAACTGGAGCTAAGGACGGTTCATAGCCACCATGTGGGTGCTAGGAATTGAACCTGGCTTCTCTGCAAGAGCAGTCAGTGCTCTTAACCGCCGAACCATCTCTCCAGCCCAAAATACTTTTTAAAATTAAAACTTTTGATGTTGGGGGCTGGAGAGATGGCTCAGCAGTTAAGAACACTGGTGGTTCTTGCAGAAGACCCGGGTTCGAATCCCAGCACCCACATGGCAGCTAACAACTGTCCGTAACTCCAGTCCCGGGGATCCGACAGCCTCTTCTGACCTCCGTGGGCATTGCACGACACGGGTGCACTTACCTATGTGTGGGCAATACACACATACACATAAAATAAAAATAAGTAAATTTAAAAAAAAAAACTTTTGATGTTGAATAACCCTAAATATTTAATGAATTCTCATGTATAATGGCATAGTAAACTTTTTAAGAATTTCTCTCATCAGCAAGCTTTTAAGTTTTTTAGTATGCTGCATTTTGTGTTTTTAACTGTAATAAAATTATGTATATTAAAAACATTACCTCAAGTTGGGTGAGGTGGCGCACACTTTTGGTCCCAGCCCTCGGGAGATAGAGGCCAGCCTGAGCTGCATAGTGAGTTCCAGGCCAGGTGGGGGTCACTGGGAGTACCCTGTCTCAAAAAAACAAGACAAAACAAGTGAAAGATTCCATCCCTGGCAGCTGTTACCTCCTGGACGGTACTGGATAGGACTTCACTGTGTGCTGTTCCATTGGTTGGAGTCTAGGTGGTGGTCATTCCTTGTGGCATCACGAACGCCCTGTCTGAGGACGACAGAGAGGCGCTGATGGCAAAGTGCAGTGAATATCAAAGGCGGTTGCTCAGCGCCAACATTCGCGTTCGAGTTGATCTCCGAGACAATTATTCTCCAGGCTGGAAATTCAATCACTGGGAGCTCAAGGTAACAACAGTCCTCAGTGTGTCTTTCACGCTGCACCCCAATTAGAGTTTCTCTGTATTTTTTTTGATTACTTTCCCCATATCTTAACCTAAGTGCTGAGCACCAGCACAGTTCATATCTTGTAATAGGGATTACTGAAGTGTATATTTGCTTAACTTAAAATATTTTCTGTGGCAGCTGGGAGTCGGTAGAGTGCTTACAGGGCACTTGGCCCTGGCTTTGATTCCTAACACTGCTTCCTGTCTACCTAAAAGTTTTGTGAAAGCCCATTTTTATTATGTTAGAATAGACATCATTTTAAGTTTTTGTTTACATTAAATAAGCCTCATTTGGTTGTCATATCATAGTGTTTCTATCAGGAAGTTACTTGTATGGCAAGGTGTTCAGAATGATGGATCCTGGCCATTGTGATTGACTAGTAAGTGATGAGAGGTTAATTCTGCACTTGCAATTCCATCAACATTGTTGACCATCAGTTTGTTGTTGTTGTTGTTACTGTTTTTTAACTCTGTATATGCAAAGTCTGTTTAAATTCTGGTTTGATATTCTTTTTTTTTTTTTTGGTCTTTTTGAGACAGGGTCTCCCTGTAGCTCCAGCTGTCCTGGAACTCACTGTGTAGACCAGGCTGGCCTCGAACTCACAAAGATCCGCCTGCCTCTGCCTCCCAAGTGCTGGGATTAAAGGCGTGCGCCACCATGCCCGGCCCTGGTTTGATATTCTTAATATAACTTTTTATTTACCACACAGTGTCACTTACAGATCCTTTTTCCTTACCTAGAAATAGCTGATGAATGCTACCAGTACCCACTTCTCTGAGCCAATTTTTACTTGTCTGGGTTTGGTACAAAATGTTAAAGTTAACAGTTTAATTAAAATGAAAGAAAAATGTAGCCAGGACTTCTGAGTCCATACTCTTCCCTTTCCTCTCTTATCCCCCTGTCCACCTATAATGTGGCTCCTATCTCCATCTTTGTGGTCCCTGGGTGAGCCTGTACTCAGATTCAAATACTCAGGTTCAAGTATTCAGGTTCAAATCAGATTTCTAGCATAACTTAAATCTTCCTTTGGCCTCTAGCTACTCTGCAGCTAAACTGCATGTAGAAGCACCTGACTTACAGTGCCGGAATCCAATATTAGAGGATCATTCAAAAAAAAGAACCAGGTGTGGTGGTGCATGCCTTTAGTCCCAGCACTCTGGGAGGCAGAGGCAGGTGGAACTCTGTGAGTTCAAGACCAGCTTGGTCTACATAATGTGTTCTAGGCCAACTGGGGCTACAGGGAGACCTTGTCTCAAAAAAGGACCGAAAAATAAGAATTTAAAACCTACTTTTTGTTGTTGTTGTTGTTGTTGTTGTTGTTTTGTTTGTTTGTTTGTTTTTTTTGGAAGTGAAAGGTCTCCCTAAACCTTAAACAGGGTTTTAGTCCCCTCAGTGAGAGAAATTCACATGAATTGAATATTCACAAGTCTTAAACTCACATGTCTTTAAGTTCCTCGGTGAAAACTGAGAGAATAGTGGTTCTCAGACTGTAGTCCCAGGACCAGCAGTCTGAGTAGCACATAGGAACTGTTATGTAACTCTTCCCAAGCCAGGGTGTCCCAGCCAAAGTACACCATTATACCATGAATGAGTCAAGAATGTAGCAGTGTGTTTGCCCCTAGTGGATTGAGGCGTCTTTGACTTCAGATAGCCCCATTTTCCTCCATATATTATGTGCCATTTTTAAGGAAATTGGAATGCTCCTCCAGATACTTCTCCATTGAAAGCTTCTTCAGTGCTGACCACATGGGCAGTGGACTCTTTCCATGTTACTGGAATACGTTTCTGTAGTGCCTCAAGAATATTACCTGCCTTCTTGTTTGGGTGTTTTAGATTTATGGTAGATACAGCCATAAAATACGTCTGTATTCAGCTGAAGATACACTGCTCCATTTTAAATGCCTGTTTTATTTCATAGGGATTTCCAATCAGACTTAAAGTGAGGTCTGTTTTGTTTTATAGGGTGTTCCAATCAGACTGGAAGTGGGGCCACGGGATATGAAAACCTGTCAATTTGTAGCTGTCAGGCGAGACACTGGAGAGAAGCTGACAATTGCTGAAAAGGAGGCCGAGACTAAACTTCAAGCCATTTTGGAAGACATCCAGCTTAACCTCTTCACAAGGTAACTCTACACTACTGTGTCTCTTTTCAGTTTTTACCTTACATTCTAGATCTAAAACAAGGAATGTTTAGAATATTGCAACTGAACGTAATCTTTCCCTCTGAACTTCCAAGGCCACTTAATTTTTTACTTGATTCAGGGTTTTGATATATGGTTTTTCTAATTGCTTCCTATGAGGTTTGAAACAATAGTCGGTCTTCTGGGTTTATTGGGGTTAACTTCATCAGGCTGTTGTGACACATAAATGTGAGGGATTGAGGCCTTGATTCTAACCTGCTAGGCACAGGTTGGTAGAACCCAGCTTTAGTAAATACCAGCACCTGATACCTTCTCTGAGATAATAGTTTAAGTGGTCTACACAGGACTCAGCAGTTGCAGTGTTAGAGAGGTGGCACGGTGGTTAAGAACAGGTACTGCTCTTGCAGAGGGACCTGAGTTTGGTTTCCAGCACCTACAATGAGTGGCTCACAACCACCTGTAACTCCAGCTACAGAGGAATCCAGTGATGCCTCTGGCCTCCCTTGGGGCACCTGCACTTATGCACATACACATAATTTACATATATATATAAGGTTCCCCAGGGATTCTGAGGAGCCAAAGCTAAGAACCTCTTGATTAGTTTAGGACAGGTAGCATTGTCAGGTGGGGTTGGACAGCACCCTGCCTAGCGCTCTTTCAAGTAGTGCTGTAGGTGCAACTCCTGCCATTCTGTCTCCTCAGTCACTTGGGTGCTTTGGGAGTGGAGATGACTGGGCCTCACACCTGAAGATCCTGACCCCTTAGTTTTAAGGTAGTGCCACTACTCCCAATTTAAAATACATTCTTTTTTAAAAAATTTTTTTATTTATTATTTTTATTTTGTGTGTATAAGCGTATTGCCTGCATGTATGTAGTGCACCTGTGTCATGCAGTGCCCATGGAGGTCAGAAGAGGGTGTTGGGTTCCCCTGAAACTGGAGTTAGGAATTGTTGTTAGCTGCCATGTGGGTGCTGGGACTCAAACCTGGGTCCTCTGCAAGAGCAGCCTGTGCTCTTAACTGCTGAGCCATCTCTCCAGCCCCTTAAAATACACTCTTAGCAACTTTCATTCAATTACATTCAAATCTTGGTACTTTTTAATATGTAAGGTCCATACTAAGTTTATGTTTAGTTTACTCTTAACAGTTTTTTGTTTTGTTTTTATAATTTCTATCTACAAAGATACACATGTTCATTATAGAAGAGTTGTGACAGAAAAAACACAAAGAAAAAAACAAACAGCCTGTAGGCTCAGTATCCAAATATAGTTAACAAAACTATTTTGTTATATTTTTTCATTTTTTTTGTATGAGTGTTAGAATATGATCATTCTGAATGTGTAAACATGAGTTGATTTTTTTTGGGGGGTCTTTTTGAGACAAGGTCTCCCTGTAGCCCCAGCTGGCCTGTAGATCAGGCTGACCTCAAACTCAAAGAGATCCTCCTGCTTCTGCCTCCTGAGTGCTGGGATTAAAGGTGTGCGCCACCACGCCTGGCTATGAGTTGATTTTTTGTTGTTGTTGTTTTTTTTTTAATTTTTATTTATTTTTTTAATTTTATGTGTATGTGTGTATTGCCTGCACAATGTAGGTAAGTGCACCCGTGTCGTGCAGTGCCCATGGAGGTCAGAAGAGGCTGTCGGATCCCCTGGGACTGGAGTTACGGACAGTTGTTAGCTGCCATGTGGGTGCTGGGATATGAACCCAGGTCTTCTACAAGAACAACCAGTGTTCTTACCCGCTGAGCCATCTCTCCAGCCCAGGAGTTGATGTTTTTAAAAAATGTTTATTCTTCCTGTATGTGTATGAGTGTATTGCCTGCATGCATGTAAGTGTACCTGTGGGTGTGCAGTGCCCAAGGAGGTCAAAAGAGGGTGTTGGATCCCCTGAACAGGTCAGCCTAGGCTACATATTGAGACCCTGTCTATAAAAAAGGTGGCAGATGGGGGGAGATTTGGAGGGGACATTTAATAATGGGAAGGTGACTTCAATAATATACATTTGTACACTTTTCTCTGTTCTAATATGTTCATGCCTTCGTTTGATTATTAGAAGAGAACTATGTACTTTGTACTACATTATTACTGTTTTTTCCAGTTTTATAGATGAGAAAAGTATACCAGAGGGTTTAAAAAATAACTGACTCTCACAGGCAGTATGTGCTACAGCCAGGACTAGAGTGTTGGGCAATAGAGATTTAACAGCAATAACAAAAGTCATGATTCCCTGTTGTGTATGGGCAAATATCCCATACATTTAGGCTTTCAGTCATGCAGAATTAATGTGACTGATTTCCTGACAGTAGCTGTGCTAGTAAGGAAGTTAATATTCAACTTGAGGTCTTCTGACTTTTGGGTTATTCTTTCATTAAATTCTGTTTATCTTGTGATTTTAAAAAAAGCTTTGTCAGATTTATAAGGAAAAGTATGTGTTCTCTGATTGTTTTGGTAGAGCCTCTGAAGACCTGAGGACTCACATGGTTGTGGCTAACACTCTGGAAGACTTCCAGAAAGCACTGGATTCCGGAAAGGTAGATTTCAAAGCAGTTTTCTTGGTCTTGGTTTTGTTTTCTGCAGTGCTGGGGATTGCCTCCAGGTCTATGTGTGCTAGATAAGCACTCTACCACTAAACTGCACCTCTACCCTGAGAACGTTTTGAATATAAAAACACCAATGAATCATATTTTAAAAGTCACTGAACTTACACATTGTACTAATCCCTTTTAAAGACAGTTACATAAGAGGATTGTTCAGCATTGTGTATTATTAGAGTGAATCACTTATGGACTTTTGTATTCTGTTGTATATGTTGAATATGCAAGACCTGTGTCTCCAGATTACAAATGAGAAAATATGGGCCAGAGTCTAAACAAATTAGCCCAGTCTACATGGTAGACCGATCCTGGAAGCTAGACCTCTCCAACACATTTTAGTGTGCTTCCTTCTAGATCTTCTTAGTGATTGTTGAGAATGTGAGGCTATGTTTTGTTCTGTGGGTGCAATCTAATAATACGTCTCTTATTGCATGAGCTGGGAAAATTAATCTGACTCTGAGTTTACTACTATTTAAAGTAAATGTAAAATAGCTAATCTCAAAACTCCTTTAGATTCCTAATTCTTCAGTATTTGGAATATATATAAAATCAAGCTGCATGCTTCTCATAGAAAGCTAGAGACTATATAGCCATTGCCTACATGTGTTTTCCTTTCTTTGCAGTTTATGCTTTATTTTCTTTTTGCGTCATTTTTTTCCCATGGTAGGATTGAATTTAAGGTCATGTATGTGCTAATAAGCAAGCACTCTGCCACTGAACGATATCTCCAGCCTATTTTTTACTTTCTATTTTGAGTAAGGATCCTTAAGTTGCCCACGTTGGCCTTGAACTCATGCAATAGCCCACGTGAATCTTAAACTTGCAGTCTTTTGGCTTAGGCCTCCTGAGCCTTCCCTCCTGGGAGAACAGGCTTGTGTCACCAGGCTCAGCTTCCTCCATTAATTTTTAAATTAAAATTTTTCCTTAACTAGGAGTATGGTTAGTTGCTTTTGTAGAACGGTTTAAAGAACAATGGGGGTATTTTGGTTACATGCACAGAGAACACAGAGAGCAATGTTTTTGTATGTTGCATGTAGTAGTAGGTGTGTTTCCCTTTCTGTCTCACAGGGTCAGCTTTAGGGGTGCTGACTGACCAGCGAGTAACCTTTGAGGCTGTTGTCAGTAAAATTGTGTTTACTAGGAGGGGACAAGGAAGAAAAGATCCTCAGAATTTAAATGTTGTAAAGGTTTGGTTGTTTTTATTGTTGTTTTCTTTTTTTTATTTGTCGGTATACATGACAGGAGGGAGAGGCTAGTTTGTTCATCACTGAGTTTTGAATGTTGCTAATTTTCTTTTTCATTTTAGTATATTCGATTTATATAGTGCTGGGGATTGACTCCCAGGCCTCATGCCTGCTAGGAAGAGCTCTACCACTGAACTCCTTTTTATTTTATAATAAAGAAATAGGGTTTCTCTAAGTTGTCCAGACTAGCCTGGGATTTGCTGCATAGGCCTAGATGTCTTTGAACATTGGATCCCCTTGTTTCAGGTCCCAAGTAGTTGGAATTACAGGTCTGTGCCACCAGACTCTGTGCTAATGCTGCTATTTATTCTCATTAACATTTTCTTCTAAAAAATTTCTGACATTATTTATTGTGAAGAAAATTGGAAGCATAGTTACAGAAATGATTAAGAAGTTAAAAACCACCTCAAGGCTGAATAAATAACTAAAAATGAATACTACCCTTTTTATATTAATGCCACACATAAGTAGCTAGAAATTACAGGTCTCATCACACAAGCCTTACTCTGAACTAGGAATGGATTAAAGCATAATTTTTAAATAAAATTACCACTTATGAGTCCAAATACAACTTTTTTTCAGATTGGTTCTTTTGCCGTAACCATTTTGAATTTGAAAACATTCCACAGTGTTTTATAAATGTGCATTTTTAAAAAATGCTTTTTGTTTGCAAATGCTAATGGTTTACAATTCTCAGTGCCGGGAAAGAGCTGTGACTTTGGCATAGATCTTGAGTCTTTTGCCTCGGTTTTTGTTGAGCAAAGAATCTCTTTTTAAAGGGCAGGTACGCCTTTAATCCCAGCACTCGGGAGGCAGAGGCAGGCGGATCTCGGTGAGTTCGAGGCCAGCTGGGGCTACAAGGAGACCCTGTCTCAAAAACACAAAAAAAAAAACCCAGCAAAAAACCAAAATTAAAGAATTTCTTTTTAAAAACTTTTCTTTGTAGACCCAGCCTCTAAAGAAAAGACATCTTGCTGGGCATGGTGGTGCACACCTTTAATCCCAGTAGAGGCATAGGGATCTCTGAGTTCAAGTCCAACCTGGTCTACATAGCGAGTTCCAGGCCAGCTGGGTCTACAGGGAGATGCTGTCTCAAAAAGATCAAAAAAGACCAAAAAAAAAAAAAAAAAAAAAATCTTCTCTCGAAATGCGGCTGTCCAGTCTTGCCAGCTTTCTGTCCGTCCATTCCCAAGCCTGCAGGGCACACCTGTAAGTCTGAAGGCAGTTTATCAGAACACAGTTTGTGGGCTTGGGGAACTAGACTGACACATTTCACTGAGTGAATGTGAGACTTAGATTGCGAATGTTTGCTGTTCTTTGGAGTTCATGTTCATCCGAATTCGTCTCTCTAATTTCCTCATCTCTTTGCTTTTACTTCTAATAGAGAAGCCTTTTTGAAACATGTTTAACCAGATTCCAAGTGCACAAGGAAGGGTTTGCAGAGAAACGGATTTGTTTTTGAGGCATTGCTGTAGATCAGGGTGACTTGGAACTCACGATCCTTACAGATGAACTCTTAATTTGAGTGTAGAACACTGGTAATTCATGAAAAGTTTGAGCAATATTGCTGCTGCCTATAGTCTCTCTACCTTTTACTCTGTGTGTGTGTGTGTGTGTGTGTGTGTGTGTGTGTGTGTGTGTGTGTGTGTGTGTGTGTGTGTGTGTGTAAAAAAGTCAAAGGACAACTTGACAGGAGCTAGTTCTCCCTTTCTGCCATATGGCTCCTGGGAGATTGAACTTGGGTTGTCAAACTTGGTTGGTGGCAGGTCCCTTCATCTGCTGAGCTACCTGCTCACCCTTTAATGTCTTCTGGGTTTCCATTTCCTAGCTCTCTGGATTGCCTTTAGCTGGTATTTCTGATGGAAGCCTCTTCCCATCATTAACATTAGCACTGACCTTCAGACATTCTTGTAGGATTGTTATATAGTTGTTATTGCAGTTGTTATTTCACACCTCTGTGGTGTGAAACATTGAGTGTTCATAACTGGCACAAACCTTAAGCTGGCTTAGTAAAATATTTAGGTTTTATTGAAAGAGAATCAAGGCTAGAGATTCCTTCTCTCTCTTCTTCCTCCCTCTTTTCCTCCTTTTTAGGGGCTGCCGTGAGTTGAATCCTGTCTGTGCATATGCTAGGCAAGCACTCTACCATTGATCTACAGCCTGAAACTCTCTCTTTTGTTTAAACTTGTTTTGAGACAGGTCTTTCGAGTTGCCCAAGCTTTGTACTTACTGGGTAGCCAAGGTAGGCCTTGAACTTGTGATCCTTCTGCCTCAGTCTTTTAAGAAGCTGGGATTATAGGCCTGTGCCACCAGGTCCAGCTCGAAATTTTCAAATAGGTGGTAAATTTAAAATAAAGATAAGATCCCAAGTCTCTGGGTTCTGCCCATTAGTTAATAATATAAGAAAGAAAAAAATGGAAAGGTTGTTTCCCCCAATAACAAAATGATTTTTGTCTTTCATAAACTTTTATGCTTTAAAAATTACTCACTCAGCTGGAGAGATGGCTCACCGGTTAAGAACACTGGTTGTTCTTGTAGAAGACCTGGGTTAGAATCCCAGTACCCACATGGCAGCTAACTGTCCATTAACTCCAGTTCCAGGGGATCCGACCACCTCTCCTCACCTCCGCGAGCATTACGTGACACGGGAGCACTCACATACATGCAGACAATATACACATACACATAAAATGAAAATTAAAGAAAAATTATTCACTCATCCATAAAAGTGAGACTTGCCTCGTTGTTATTGTTAACATTACTTTGAAATCAGTTTACTTTTAATCATTTCCTTTATCCTCCCGATAACCATAGTTATGTAGACCAGGCAGCAGTTCAGAATTGAAATGAAGGAGCTACGGCAGGTGTTTACCGCGTTACCGTCCATTTTTCAGGACATTTCAGTGTTTTACTCAAGATACTTTGTGTAAAGGCCTAAGTGCAGAGGTACTGTGGCCCAAAAAGGACTGGGAGACATGCCTGTTTTTGCTTTAAAGGTATAAAGAGAACTCAGCTATTCCTTTTTAGGCATTAGAACACTTTCCTTTCTTACTAGATTGCACAGATTCCATTCTGTGGGGAAATTGACTGTGAAGACTGGATCAAGAAGACCACTGCCAGGTAAACAGACTTCTGGGATAGAGCTCAGGAGGTGCTGCCCTGAGAAGGGATTACAGTACAGCAGGAGTGAGTGGGATTCTTGTTTCTTTCATTTCAGGGATCAAGATGTGGAGCCTGGTGCGCCTTCCATGGGAGCTAAAAGCCTTTGCATTCCTTTCAAACCACTGTGTGAACTGCAGCCTGGAGCCAAGTGCATCTGCGGCAAGAACCCTGCCAAGTTCTACACCTTGTTTGGTCGGAGTTACTAAAGGATAAAGCAGAAGCCGCTGCAGTTCTTAAAACAATTGGTACTAGAACCTTCTCAGATACAGTTTTTTGATTTTTTTTAAAAATAAAAGTTCTAAAAAGAGGTCACATGAGATAAACAACTATTCTTATGTCTAAAGTAATAGTGGAAAATCTTTTCTGTAAACAACCCTGCTAATAAATACCATGAACTGATAATGCTGTTTTATGTATTCATTTTATCCTGCAATAACAGAAGTATACATAGAGGAAAGCCCTCCCGAGACGGGAGCTGGTAGTGCAGTGGTGAGCTTCCTCGAACTTGGAGCCCTCCTCTCTTCTCCACTTGCACTTCTCACCCTTCTTCCCACCGTGGTAGATCGCACCAGGCCACTAGGGGTGCACCTGGCCAAAGCTGTGTGCATTTGTGACCCTGTCTCCCCGTGCTCCTCTGTTGCTTGAGATCTATTTATTAAGTTACACATGTGGTCTGCTTTAGGAGTAACTTGATAAATTAATAAAATTAATAAGTAATGAAAATAGACCCCTCTGACTCTTTCTCAGTCAATATGCCTTACACTGCTGTCTCCCTGGCCTCTCTCAGACACTGGTTATCAGACTTACATACTTGGCCTTCACGCTGTCTGATTGGCCTCCTCTCCTCATGGTTCCAGAGAGCTAAAATACCTCCAACATTTTTATCACCAGTTCAAAGCTTAAACCCACTCTACACACCGAGCTGCCTGGGTGTTCCATCAACTTTTCAGGTCAAGATGTCCCCAGATCTCACTTCACCTTCCATTTCCAACCCTCTTCCTCCTGCAGTGTTTTCTGCTTGGAAGATTAACGCTGACAAAATGTACTCTGTAACTAAACCAGAAACCCGAGTCATCCAGACAGCCCTTCCTACACAGTGTTAGCCCATGTTCCATTGTCTTTCTGGTCTTCCCCTATCACAGGTGTGTAATCTCCAAGCCAATTCCACCATTTCCCAGAGTATTTTTGTTTTTCCTAATGCACAATTATTAAGATTGTTTTTCTTCTGAAATCATTTTATAACTTCACCATTTGCAGGCCAAAAATGTGTGCCCTTTGGCCTGATCTGGCTCCTTATCTGTTCCATGTGCTCCTTAGTGTGACACAATAGCTCTCTGTACTTCACATATGGGGTCTCTTGCAAACTGATTTTCTATCTGTGTCTCTGCCTGCAAGGCCTGTCATACCTCATTTCTAGCCTACTTGATAAATTTCTTTTTCTTCCTTTTATTTTTTTAACATTTATTTACTGGGGCGGCGGGGGCGGGGGGCGACTCCAGGCCAGTGCTATTGCTTAGGAGTTGCTTCTCTCCTTCCACCATGTGGGTCCCGGGGGTGGAGCTCAGGTTGTCAGCCTCGACAGCAAGTACCTTTACCTGCTGAGCCATCTTGCCAGCCATTTGTTTTGTGTTTTGTTTTTTTCTATCACCATTTAGCCCAGGCTGACCTTGAAGTTGTGATCTCTCGCTCCTACCTCCTCAGACTACTTGGTAAATGCTTTATTTCAGGACTGCATTCCAATTCAGTTTCCCACTTGATGGTGATGTATACATGATAAGCAGAAAGGACTTTTTAAAAAGAGCCATGCTTTTGAAGGATGACTAGAATGTCAGTATAAATAGAGGAAGAAAGAATGTGATGCAAAGGTAGGCCACACTTACCTATGAGAAACAGGAACTGTTTCCACAAAGTTGCAGATTAAATACAGCATGCAGTCTGGGAAGACAGCTTAGTTGGCAAAGTGCTTGCCACACATGTTTGTTCCTGAGCTAAAATGTTGATGGTCCTATAATCCCAGTCTGGAGGGGTGGAGATAGCAGGATCTCTGAAACTCACTTGACTTGCCAGTCTAGCCAATCAGTGAGCTCTAGGTTCAGTGAGAGACCCTGTCTCAAGAAATAAAGAGGAATGCACTAGAAGGAGACATACCTGATATCAAACTCTGCTTTCCATATGCACTTAAACCTGTGCATCAAAAGAAAATAAACACAGCTTGCTGATCTGAGCCACATGCTGTGCTCTAAATCCATTTCTGGCTTTGGGCAGTTCCAAATGTTTTACCGTCTTCCGTCTCTATGTCAGCGTAAACTCTTAAGTTGGAAAATGGGGAGAAGTCCGATACCTACTGATAAGTTCCTCTACCACGCAGAGTAAGGTCATTGGAAGTGTCTAGCACATAATAGTTATTTTTATGGCAGTTGCACAAGGCAATTGGACGTTGCTCCTGGAGTGCGGCTTTAGTCATAGCAGTTAAGTTTAGTCATATTAGTTTGCAGAAAAACAGGTTGAAGTTAAAGAGGCAGTTTGTTTAGCTGATTTATGGCAAAGACATGAAAAATAGAAATGGATGGTACCCTGATCATTTAGGAGGAGGTATCTTCTGGAGCTATTGGAGGCTTCAGATGTGTAGAACTAACCACAGAAAACCCTGTAGTTTCCTACCTGAAAAAATCTATATGTATTTCTGATAAATTGGCTTGTTTCTTAAACTGGGGGTCAGCAAATTATCAAAACCTTTCAAACTGCCTATATTTTTTTAGCTTTTACAATTTTATTAGCATCTTAAGGAAAAATCCTCAGGGCAGGTGAGCTGATAATCTTAGCAGCTGCCTTGAGGAGGTGAATAGTGGGAAGAAGGAAAGAAAGCCATGAAGCCGTGCAGGTTTAGAGCCTATGTGGGTCAAACTCTTTATCTAAAGAGTACTGGTCTGACACCCATTTGTAATCCCAGTACTCGAGAGGCTAAAGTAAGAAGATAATGAGCTTGAGATTGGTCTGGGCTACTACATAGTTTGAAACTAACCTGGGCTACTTCATGGGACTGTCAGAAAAAAGTCTGGTGTTTTTCAAGAGGTGCCTGAATATTTTTACTAGCTAGTGACAGAAACTAGCCACAGTTGTCCCTTGGAATCCATGGGTCCCCCAAAGTCTAGCAGTGTTCTAGTTTGCTTTCTGTTGTAATAAAACACTGACCCAAAGCAACTTGGGAGGGAAATGGTTTATTTGACTTACACTTCCTGACCACAGCCCATCATTGAGGGAAGTCAGGGCAGGAATTCAACCAGGAGCAGAGGCAGGAGCTGAAGCAGAAACCATGGAGGAGACATGCTTGCATTCCCTGGCTTCCTCAGCTACCTTACATAGCACAAGCCTACCTGCCTAGTGGTGGTACTGCTCATAGTGGACTGGACCCTTCTACAGGAGTTAACAACTAAGAAAATGCCTCACAGACATGGCCCCAGGCCAGTCTGATGGAGGCAGTTCTTCAACTGAGATTTCCTTCTTTCCAAGTTAACAAAAACTAACCAGCTCAGCCACTGCTCAGGTCCCTTATAAAAATGACAAAAGTGGAGCTGGAGAGATGGCTCAGTGGTTAAGAGCACTGGCTTTTCTTCCAGAGGACCTGGGTTCTATTTCCAGAACCCACATATTGGCTAACTCCAGTTCCAGGGGAATCTGACGTCCTCTTCTGACCTCCACGGGCATTGCACAGCACAGGTGGGTGTACTTATATATGCAGGCAATACACTCATACACATAAAATATAAATATTAAAGGAAAAATAAAATGGCAATGTATTTGAATTCAATCTAGACACATCCTCTCCTACAAAGTCATCTATACCCAATGCAATGTAAATGCTGTGTATAGTTGTCATTGTTTAAGGAGTAATTGTAAGTCTGCATGTTTAATACAAAGGCAATTTTCAACCTGCAGTATGTGGAACTCATAAATTTAGAGACAGACTATCTGAATAACAGTCACCAAAAGGGTTCTCTGCCCAGTGTTAACTGTAGCAAAAGACAACAAGGCATATTCACTACTGGCTCTGCTAACAGGGCCCATCAGGGTACTTCTGTTACACTAGCAGTTTCTAGTCATCCATAAAAGAGTTCTACATAGTTTCATTTTGCCAGTAGCCTTTATGAGAATTGGACAGCAAGAGTAACTCTCTGGCCTGTGTGCTAATGGCAAGGATTTGACTCTTGAGATCAGCACAGAGTATTTCATAAACAACCAAGGGGAAAGTATTCTGACCAGTCTGTGGAAAGAACCTGCCCCCCCAATTCTGGTTATCAGTCTGTCCTATAACCATGGTATCTAGTGTAGTAAGGTCAAGGAAGGCAGATAATACCCTCTCGTTCTTAGACTTTGCCATTAGTTTGTCACTTCTGTCGAGAAGATGACTGCTGGGGCTGGAGAGATGGCTCAGTGGTTAAGAGCACTGGCTGCTCATGCAGAAGCCTTGGGTCCGATTCCCAGCACCCATATGGTGGCTAACATCCATCCATAACTCCATTTCCAGGGGATCTAGACAACCTCTTCTGACATCTGCTGGCATTGCACAACATGAGTGCGCTTACATACATGCAAGCAATATACTCATACACATAAAAATAAAAGATGACTGCTATCTAGTAAATTTCAGTGCCTACTTGGCACAGTGCCAGACAGTAGTAGTAAGACTAAACAGTTTTTCTGTTTCTTGGCTATTTCCTCGGGGCTATAGGGAGACCCTGCCTCAACAAGGACCCCCCCCCCCAAGTAACTTCTGAGATGCAAAATGAGGTAGTCTATAGTTGAAAAGGAGGTGGACCAATAAATTGGGTTTTCGCATTGTTGGAGACAGTCATCTCAGTGGCTAAACCGTGAGGTTATCATCAGCAGTACTCCCAGAGCAGTCCTGTAGTTGAGGTTAGCATCTGGAAAGCTAACCTATTCTGCCACACACCAGGTTTAAAACAATAGGCGCAAACACTTTTCCTACAGCTCAGTAGATTATATCAAGCCCATGTCTACCTTCAGCTCTACTGAAAAGTTTGAGCTCGGGACATCCACGACACTGAAATAATATAAAGGATTTTATTAAGTAAGTGTCACAGGACTGAAGAGATGGTTGCTGTCGCAGAGGGCCAGGGTTCTGTTCCCAGCACCCACGTGACAGCTGTCTCTGACTCCAGCTCCATGGAATCTGACACCTTCTTCTGGCTTCCATGGGTATTTGCACACATCATGCACTTCTATGCATGCAGGCAACACGGATAAAATTAAAAAATAAGTGTTACATCATGGGGATATTTCAAAATATGTTTAAAGTATATCGTCAAGACCAAGTTTTGAGATGACGAATTACTGCTGAATGAAGACTTGGAAGTTGGTGGTTGTGGGGTTCATCATTAGGT